CCCCAAAACCCCAAAACCCCAAAACCCCAAAACCCCTTATTTTGGGTAAATTATTGATTTTATTTTGGAAATGTCAACAAGGAATTTGGAAGGAGCCCTTCCTCCAATAAAGAGTAAGTGCTTGGTTTTATCGGATTTGAAGGAATAAAGGAGATTTATTGGGAGTTGTGACTAGGAAGTAGAGTTGATGGTCATATAGATTTGAAAGGAGGATCGAAGTATTCTGATGGTGTTTATATCACACAATTACTTGATAAAGCAGATAGATCGATGTCTTTGAGTTATAGGAAGAGAATGGATGATGCGATCTTTGGGGAGGTTTCGAAGATTCCTGTTTTTAATGACTTTAAAAAGGATATCGAGGATTTGGAAAAATCAGATGAGTTTAGAATGAATTACATTAAAAGTAGAAGCTTTGCATTACTTCCAAAAGACTCTAAGACTTCAGTAAAGCCTGTCAAACCACCGTCAATTCTCTTTAAGATTTATTCAAAGCTACTCAATTCTGAAAATGCGGCAAAGACAATATCTGCTATCAAGATTATGCTGAAACTTTACTTTAAGAAGAACGGTATTTCGCCACCAACAAATGTTGTAAGTGTTCATTACTTTCTCCCTAACAAAGATCTTAGGAAATCATTTGTTTAGAATATCTAGAATATACTTTTAAAATATTTTTCTTTCCTTCTGATCATACTTTCACTTGAAAAATCAAGAAGGTTGAGCTCTAATTTAGGAAGAACAACCTGGTGAGATTGACCCGATAAGTGAAGAAGAACTTGCCCTTCAGACTCTGATTGATGGTCACCTTCATTTACTCAAGACAGTCAGGAACAAAATTGAGCTACTACTAAACGGCACTGACCTTGAGCCTATGAACAAGCATAGAAAGCATTGGAATCAGGGCTATATTAGTGCTCGGACACCTAATGAAGCCTGTATGCTTACTTTCTAAACTTCTTTAGCAGATGTAGCAAATACTAAAGACCTTAAATCTAGATTCAAGCTCGCCATTGGCGAGCTTAATCACTGGTAATGTCTCTGTCTCATCTATCTAGGGTCAAAGATGTCATCGAACAAGTCATTATCAAGAAGAGAGCTTGCGAAATGCAAATGATTGATACCCAAACTGAGCTAAAGAAACTGACAGCCACTCATCAAAAGCTCTGCACTCAATTTGAGAAGCTTAAAATCGTACAAATTTCTATAATATTTTAGGAAAAAGCAAAGAAAATCACTGAGCTTGAAGGAACCAAACAGGAGCTATCTGCTATCAATGCAAAGCTGAATAATAAATTCAAAGAGCCTAATAAGGTAGAGACTAGTGTGCAGACATTGGTCAATTGCAAGAATGTACCGTTCACGATTGTCGCTGAAAAGATTCTTGAAGCTAAAATCTCTAGTAAATTAAAACCTATAATGTCAATAATCCACAAACTTGAGGAGGGCAAGATTGACGACATCCCGCTACCAAAGGATAAGGTTGCTGACTTTATGCATTCTGCATATATCAAGAAGGCTGAGAGCATAACGACTCATAACAACTCCATGCTAAACTTTGAAGATATCTTGTACAGTATTTTCGAGCAAAGATTCCTATTCAAGAAGAAAATAAGGATCAAGTGTCAACAATTCTTGATCGGGCTTCGTGAGTACTCACTTACAGATGAACGTATGGATGATTTTAAGAAGTTCATAGGGTTTGAGAACTCTAATAAGTACCCACCAGAGATTCTAGAGCTGTATATTAAGACGATGAAGTCCACAGAGGAGAGTTTTTCTGTGATCCTATCAGAAGAAGCTGAAAACATCAGCTTGGCTATTGAGAAGGCTTATAAAAACATCCTTGTTGTGTTTAGCAACGCCTCTGATCTGATGAAGCAAGAGATATTGATATCAATGATCTATGAGTCCAATTTTTACTGTGACGGAAAGCTTCAACATGCTAAAAAGGAGTACCAGAGAATTCGGAAATTCATACTAAGCAAAGTCAGGAATGAAGAAGAAAAAACTGAATTCACTAGTAATGTAGAGGTCTTGTTACCTGAGATTATTAAGGAAGATCTAGCAGAAGGAACCCTACAAAATTATGTTTATAAGGACTCAAAGAGTTTCATGAGGTTCACCCATGAGATGAGAATTCCAATTAAGAAAATTCTGTCAATAGGGCTAAGGACAGCGATTAGATTTTATGAAACTGCAAAAGCATTCTACTCTAAGTTGTTCAATACTGCTGATGCTAACAATGATGGATATATTGATTACTATGAGTTTACAAATCTCATTAAAAGCATTGATCCTGAGAGACCAAGATGGAAAATTATTGCTATCTTTGAAATGACCGCTGGAGGCTCAGATGGCACAAATGTCCTGACTGAAGATGTAAAAATTAATTTCAACCAGTTCCTAGAATGCGCTCTTTCTCATTCATTAATGAACAATCTTATGGGAGGTCAAAATGCAGGTAGAAAGAAGAATAACTGAGATGAAATTCTTTCTGAAATTGATCAAATAATGACTGAAAAGAAGCCGATTCACAACTCAGACTTACTCAATGATCTTGAGGGAGTATAAAAGCTGCTGGCATGATTTCATTATAAAAATTCAAAAATAATTTATAGCTAAGGGGTTTTGGGGTTTTGGGGTTTTGGGGTTTTGGGG